CGAGTTGCAAACATGCCGAGAGGTTTCTGCTATTGGCGTTGCACAATGAGCTGTGGGATTGCATTGATCAGTATTTGGGGGGAGGGGGGGGGGAGCGTAGTCACTGCAGGGAGTGAAGCCTGAAGGAGGCCTCACTCCTCATCTCACCTCCATGTTGCAAACGTTGGGACTATTTGGGGAAGATCAAACGCCCTGGTAACAGGGTTGGATGTGGGCACTCAACTCAACTATTTATTATTTAAAAATGTAGAAATGTGTTTGCATGCGCACGCACATGCACGCTTTGGGAGCGAAAGCTTTTGGGGAGGATGGTTAGTGCATTAGTGTATGATCTCGAAAACCTACGTTTTTGGATATGTATTTACGTAGAATTTTTTCGATTTAAAGCTTTCGTAACTGCAAGGATTCATCTTCTTTGGTTCTTTCGGTAAAGTCACGTAGAATGAGAATAAAATAATAAATTGATAAAATAAAATAACACAATAATATTCTCACGACGTTTCGGCCACAACACAAGCGGCCTTCATCAGGTGAAGGGACGAGACTGTCTGGAGGACAGCGCTGGAGTGAAAAAGCCACGCTCAGATCGCGACCTTTAAGCTGTGTGAGAAGAAACAAAGCGCCTTGACAAAGGAATTAGCATAAAATTTAGCATTGAAATGGCTGAGTGATTAGCTTGTGACTGGTCACAGAAATGGCTATGTTAAAGTTAAAGCATACACATCCGCAGAGGTACCCCTTGACAAAGGAATTAGCATAGAATTTAGCATTGAAATAGCTAAGTTAAAGCATATGCATCCGCAGAGGCACCCCTTGACAAAGGAATTAGCATAGAATTTAGCATTGAAATAGCTGAGTGATTAGCTTGTAACTGGTCACAGAAATAGCTATGTTAAAGTCAGAGCATACACATTACAGAGGCACCTAGTACAAATCAAACAGGAGAATTTAGCATTGAAATAACTAGGCGAATTTAGCATTAAAATAACTGAGTGATTAGCTTGTGACTGGTCACAGAAATGGCTATGTTGAAGTCAAGGCCTACACATCTGAGCTATTCACAGTAACTGGGTATACACTACGATATATAATGAATACTATATAGTGAACCAATAAAAAACTAAAATATAAATTACCTCAATGTTATCAATAAACTCTATATGTCTTAATTAAAAGGAGACATGATGGTTCAATGAGCCACTCTGTCTACAGGAAAGCTACCCATACAGATGCTTACTTGAAACCGGATTCCCACCACCATCCATCCCAGAAGAACTCCCTCATCAAGACTCTATACCATAGAGCCCAATGCATTTCCGACCAGGAACACATTACCAGTGAACTCAAGCACCTACACCAGGCTCTCAGGGCTAATGGTTACTCCGACTACACAATCCGCAAAGCCATCACTCCAGTCATGAAAAAGGATTCTCTTGTGGAGCCACTCAAAACCATCACCTTACCCTACATTGCAGGGGTCACTAAAAAGATCTCCAAAATCCTGAATAAACACAAGATCCAGGTCCGATTCAACACAGTACATAAAATCCGTGATCTAGTTCCATCTGTAAAAGATGCTGTTCCAGACCTACAGAACCTGGGCGTTTACAAACTAAACTACCTCTGTGGTAGTAGCTACATTGGAGAAACCAAACGACATATCTCGGACCGCATCCGCGAACATAAAGCAGACTTGAAACACGGTAGAACGAACTCCTCTGCCGTGGCAGATCACTGTTATAATTCAGTGGGCTCACATGACATTGACTTCTCCAAGACGGAGGTTCTTTGCAAACCAACCGGCTACCATGAGAGATTCGTTCATGAGGCCATTCACATATACAAGCACAGAGACAATTTCAACCACAAAGAGATGGATTCTGGCTTAGTAACCATTGGAAAGATGTTTTAAACCATTTCCATTCTTAATTAATTGTATTTTACGATGACCTTCAGACCGCAGCTCTTTCGCTGGCATTGACTCTTATTACCTCTCACACCACGGTTAATGGTATGGTTTACTACATGGAGTATAACAGCGCCTCGCAGCTGTCTGTCTCCCCCCCCTCTGTTCCGACCATGGATGAACTCGTCTGTCTGAACGGGGCCCGTAGCTATCCGTGTTGCTAAAGTTGAGGGTGAGAATCCACCCATTTTTTCGCCATATAGCATTGTGATATATAACTACTTATTGTTGGTAGCTTAGCTGATTGGAGAATATATAAAGTTTATTGATAACATTGAGGTAATTTATATTTTAGTTTTTTATTGGTTCACTATATAGTATTCATTATATATTGTAGTGTATACCCAGTTACTGTGAATAGCTCAGATGTGTAGGCCTTGACATCAACATAGCCATTTCTGTGACCAGTCACAAGCTAATCACTCAGTTATTTCAATGCTAAATTCGCCTAGTTATTTCAATGCTAAATTCTCCTGTTTGATTTGTACTAGGTGCCTCTGTAATGTGTATGCTCTGACTTTAACATAGCTATTTCTGTGACCAGTTACAAGCTAATCACTCAGCTATTTCAATGCTAAATTCTATGCTAATTCCTTTGTCAAGGGGTGCCTCTGCGGATGTGTATGCTTTAACTTAGCTATTTCAATGCTAAATTATATGCTAATTCCTTTGTCAAGGCGCTTTGTTTCTTCTCACACAGCTTAAAGGTCGTGATCTCAGCGTGGCTTCTTCACTCCAGCGCTGTCCTCCAGACAGTCTCGTCCCTTCACCTGATGAAGGCCGCTTGTGTTGTGGCCGAAACGTCGCGAGAATATTATTGTGTTATTCTATGTAGAACTTCTTTCACACCGTACGTGGCCAACCGTCCTAATAAGAGGTGCGGATAATTTAGTGGTCACTGAGGGCGTGTCTGTAATCCAGTAACTTGGAGGTTAGCTTGTTGGTTCATGTGGGGATCCGATTTTGATATAGGACAGGTTCAAATATCGCTTGAAATTAATGTTAGCTGTGGTTAGGACTCAAACTATGGTAACCTGGTTCAAAGGCGCTGTGTCCTAACCCACTGCACTGCCGCTTGCCCTACTGTATATATACAACACTGGAAAAGCCCGCTTCCTGTCAGGGTTGCAATTGCTCAGAGTTATGTTGAGGGTGACAAGATAACAACAATCCTCTGCAGGAATTGCTGATAGTTTTGACACAGAGGATGTGTGATTTTTACACAATGTTGCGTGTTGTTTGAAACCATATGGTTTCCTGGCCTGCACTATTATTCTGTATTGATGGCTTTTTCCCATCATTGACAGACTTGAATACTGGGAAAGGCTATATAATGTGATGAACGTACACCATGCACTAAGGCAGTACGTGTCGTTTTTTTTATTAGATCATGATAATCTTCACACGTATTTGAAATTTACCCTCAACATTTTCTTGTCGCATGCAGCTGTGCGGCATCTGACCGTGGCATATGGGAGTACGGGGGGCGGCAAGGCTGGCTGATTACCAGCGGGTCAGGGTCAGCGAACATCGTTGAGCGGTGCAAGCAACAGGGAATGCAAAACGTGATCGGTTCCACTTCCCCTCTCATGCTAACACCTGCCAGGCGCACAGTAATTCTGCCCCCCCCTCGCCCTTTGCATAAAATTAAGCCCAAAGTCAATATTCATAAAGAGTAACACCAGCACGGTGGTCAAAATAATTATGATGTCTGCATAAATCCGGCGCTAACATACGCGTCGGGCTTCATCGCCTGACTTCTGCTGATGCATTATGCATCGCCGCTCATTGTGCTGTTGGCATTGAAATATTTGCGGAGCATTTGTATGATTTACGTGGCGCCATTCTGCTCCGTGCCCTGTCCGACCTTAAAAAGCAACTGTTTGACTTATCTGCATTAGTCAATCGTTACAGGACGTGTGCATTTTGTTTCCACCTCGGTGTAAATCACGCTGGGTGGGCTGTTTTCCCATTGAGATGTTAATTATTTTTGGTGAAATCATGCTTAAAAAAAAACATGCTGAATTAGATTTCTAATTTAAAGACATTGCTAGTTATCTGATAACAATATTCAACTCACAAAGCATTGCAATGAAAGTTGGGTTATGCTCCTAACATGGATGCCCTAGAAGGGGAATGTTGTCCACACATTAACAAAATAAAATAATCAGACAGAGCGTCTCCTTCACATATTTGTCTCTCTGCCACACATGTTCAGGTCAATAATCTTTCCAGGAAGAGGGTGGCATGGGTTTACACACACGCAGTGCTCCCTTCAATAGCCGTGCCTAAAAATATTGCCATGATTCCAAAAATCATGGCAATATCTTTCCTGAATTCCTGAATGATTCCACAATCACTCATTACAACGTAATCGTTGTTGTCGAGTATATGTGGAACAAAATACATCATCCCTCTTTCCACATCCATCTCGCCATACCGAGAGTTGCACAACCCATCAGCCGCACGGCCTTCTGGGAATGTATAATTTCACCATCATTGTTTCAAGACAACCAAATTCTTGACCAAGTTTTGACAGTGTCTCATCAGTAGAGTCAATCTTGTTTAAATTAATGCTGGCGAACTGCCAATATTCCAGACAAGCACCCTCTATTGATGGTATTGGGTACCAGTTCACAAATGCAATGCTTTTTGTTTCAAGTTTGCCATGACCAATCTTACCCAAAACTACAGATTTGGGCATAAGTATTAGTGAGCTGTGGTAAGTTTTGTAGTGCTTGGTTGCAGAGTTTCGTAATTATCATGGAAACTCGAGCCGTTTCATCGCAGAGACAGACGTAACTTTCCTTAAGGATTTGGTGAAATCTTGCTAACAGACTTAATGAGTCCATTAACCCTCTCATGCATCAATCAATCATTGTAACGTGTTGAAATCTTTTCGTATAATTTAGCAGTGGCCGTGATGCACGGCCCCGGCACGGCTCAGTTGTACAGTGGAAAAGAGGTCTGGGTGACATACTTTTAGTGTTTGCAGGGCGCTGCCACCCAGCGCTGCCACCCAGCGCAGCCTCACCTTGGCAATCTGCACAGCCCAGTTGAGAAGCAGCTGTGAGCCAATGTGCTCCTTGTGCTCGCGCGTGTACTCCAGCAGACAGCCGAGCGGCATGAGCTGGGTCACGAGCTGCACGTTCGACGTCAGACAGATGCCCAGCAGCCGCACCAGGTGAGGGCTGCAGACTGTGGCCATGATGAACGCCTCCTGCCCGATGGTCAACACACGGTGCCCCCATTTTGAGACACACGATATACAACGGTTCTCAATGGTCTTCATTTAGCCGGAGGAAAACCAACAGAGATTTACTTTGTAAAGGAGACCGAAGCAAAACAAGGCCGAGATCACTTTAATTTCAGAGAGTTTGCTTCCGTGGAATAGATGCACGGAACATATGCTTGCTTATGCAGACTAGTTTTAGCAGCGGGCTGCAAGATCTCGTGACCTTCCAGAGGTAATGAGTCACCTACAGTGGTTGGCTTTTCCAAATTAAATTATTGGAATCTTCACTTTTCCCTTCCAATTGGAAGGCACGGGTTTTGACAAAGTTTTGGGCAGCCAAGGAAGCCGAAACACTGGCAGTAAAAACTCGCTAAGTGTCCAAACGCAGTGCCCATGAGGCCATTCGGCAAACTCAATGCACGTGCTGACTCGTACGCCACTCGCCCGACTGTAAACATGCATGTTTAAGAGCTACAGCACAGGCACACACGAAAACATGGCATTGTGTTGAACAGAGCCAATACGAGTTGCAATATACGGGTGGTGGGTTTTTTTTGCGTTCACGTGTTGCATGCAAAATTGTACAACATTCTCATTTGTTTTATATTCTTATCAGAAATGAATTTCACGTGATCTATTAATGTTTTAAACCCATTCAACCATGCAGACCTTAGGGCAAAGGGTATTAAGCCAAGGTGTAGCCACCTTTCTCTGTGCTGATATCATAAAGGTGTTCTCAATATAAGATGTAAACGCTGTAACTATACTGGTAAGACATTGGGACCTGGCAGTGGTCGAACTGACAGCCTCCTGAGCCACCCAGCAATCTTCAGTCAGAAAGCTCATAAGGGTAGCAAACACTGAACTCCAGTGTCAATATCATTTGTTTGTGCATGCTACTTGCTTGGCATGCTCCATGTCTTATTTGTTCTGTCTCTTTTGATCATACTTCTCATCTCGTTTTTTTAGGTCTCATTTGTACCATCTTATTTGTGCGCATCAGCCTACATGTCATTTTGAGAGCCCATTGCCAATCCGCTGTTGGATGCAGGTCTCCCCATGTGGGCACCACGGTGGCTAGGAGATGTTAACTACCTCGCTTGGTATGCAGGAGGTCGTGGGTTCGATCACGACCCTGATGCTTGTTCTATATTTGGAGTTTGCACGTCTCTATCCCCGTGGTCGCATGGATCTTTCTTCGAGTCCTCGGGTTTTCCCCTTCACATTTAGTAACACGCGTTCAGAGTACTTAGCTGCTATACATATCACATAATAAGCCACTTTGTTGAGCTATCATTTATGGCCAGGTCGCTTCAGTAAAAGAGCATTAGAGCTCGGTGCGGCTTACCTGGTAAAACAAAAATAGTTTCGTTTTAAATAGTTGAATGTGTCAGTCATGAGGTGTGTTTGTTTGACCATACTTCATCATTCCTTGCCACTGATATAAACCATGGCCAGGAATCCAACTTAGGTTTCTGGGTTAACAGTGTGGTGTGTGAACTCTCCAGCCAATGTAATATTTGCTGTAATTTTTTTTATAAACCAGAAACAATACATTATTCAAATCATGTATTGTGATTGTAAGGGTTGATTTTGATTGAGGATGCATTGTTCATTGCCAACTATACACTAACATTAATAGCCACCTGGGGAATTATAGTCTACATTAATTCATGGCCAGTCTACAACTGCAAACTAGCATACTCAGGAGAACATGGAGTTTACCTTTGTAGCGTTCACTGCATATACACTATCTAAAACTGTTCAGTGTTTCACAACTGACAGCGAGCTATTTCAGCTAGCGAGCTATTTCAAGCTGCACCACAATCACTGTGCCAGCCTTGTGCGACAAGGCTTTGAGGATCTTAAGGAACAAGTGGCACTGTACTGGTGTTTTGTTTTGATAAGAAATGGCTTTTGCTGAAATGACCATCTCTGGCTGCTGGCAACCCACACAATTTCACGTTCATTCAGATAACTCTCCTATCTTCTAAGGCTGTACGGTCAAGCAGTGTGTAGCATTGTATAGAATGCAATTTTGTCTTTGGCTTCAGAGGGGCAGCCACAGGCAGAGAGCGTCCGCGCTGTGCAGGAGCAATGCTCACTGTGCACATCACACGGTTACGCTCTCGTCAAAAGCGGCGTGTGCCGTAGTCATTCATAATATTATTATCAGGCATGAAAAATCACGCGTGACTCCAATTACAATATGCATTTTTTTTTTTAAGATTTAAACCAACAATGGCAGGGGGCAATTTCCTTCGTCATTCTGGATTTGCGCACTTCATAATCCGACTTGAAATCTTAATGCAGCCCACTGAGCACGCTCAGTGTCCACCTGTCACAACTTCATCTCCAACGAGACAGCAACAAACCGTTTGCTTTACGCTCCTCAGGGAGGCTATAATTACTGCCAAATAAAACCCGACAGAAAAGAGGATTAGGGAAATTCTCTGCATCAGGAGGTTTTATCAGATTTTCACTAAAGCAGATGTGCTAGTTTCATCTCGATTCCCCAATTTATGATGTATTTTTCATCACAAAGACAAAGATCCCCCGCATAGCCTTAACAGACTGTAGGGGCAAGTGCTGTTAGCGAGCGCCTTTGTCTCCCTAGTGGCAATGTTTACACACCACACCAGGTACTAATTTGAGGCTGAGTCGACCTAGGGGAGGCCCGGGACCGGTTCAAATAATCGTCACTGCCGTTGGCCGTGAGCGGGAATCGAACCGCTATCGCCGGATTCATAGCGCAGCGTGCTAACCGCTACACTATCGCTCCCCACTGTATTACAGAGTAACACAAATATACAAGCAAATACTTTTCCAGTGGCAGGCTATACAGCGCCCGACTTACAAATGAAAAATGTATGAGTTCAAATCCCTGTTCAAGTGCCAACTCAGCCACATCACACTCCCAGTGGAGATAACGTGAGAACAAAGTGAAGAGTGACGGTTCTATCTGAAATTCTGCATGAATAAGAATAATTTACACTTCTAGAGCGCCTTTCACCTGGAGGTCACAAGGCTCCGTACAAAACAAAGAAGAACAAAGATCCCCCGTATAGCCTGAACAGACTGTTGGGGCAAGTGCTGTTAGCTAGCACCTACGAAGGCCGGCATGGTACACGAAGGGGTAGGTGGCCAGCACCACACCCGACCGCCTTTGTTTCCCCAGTGACGATGTTTACACACCGCACCAGCTGCTCACTTTGAGGCTGAGTCGACCTAAGGGAGGCCCAGGACCGGTTCGGATAATCGTCACTGGTGTTGTCCGTGAGCAGGAATCGAACTCGGGTCGCCGGGTTCATAGTACACCGAGCTAACCGCGACACTACCGCTCCCACACAAACACACGCGCTGGCTGACACCAATCAAATCAAACCCCAAAGACAAAGGATGCAATGAATAGAAAGCGTGGATTGTAGTGAAGCGAGGAGGGGGGAAGTCACAAGAGCGAGCGTCCGGTGGAAGTGAATTCCACTGCCCGCTAAATGGGACGAGAGGAGTTCTGTCCATATGTGTTTCATTGAAATCGAATGCGTATACCCAAATCAAACACTGCGCCCTTACAAATGAAGATATGTTTATTATTCCATAACTATTCAAACGATAGCGACACAAATGATACTGTAAATATATACAATCACGTTTCACACCAAACTTTTGCATGGAAAACAATTGTATGGTCTTGGATGTGTATATTTTTTTGTGAAATATCATTAAAATGAATACAGCTCTTTTCACAGATCATTTGTCTCATTTAATTTGCTTTTATTTTTCTAATAGGACAGTTTTCAAACAATGCTCCACAAACGATAGGCAATTCAATTGTAAGGCATACAAATTAGCCTCTTAAAATCCAAGTAACTGCATCCCAGAATTTGCAGGTAACAAGCATCAGCTTTTATTCAGATATTTGTAGGACGATGCACTCGAAGAAACTGTGATTTATGTTTTTTTTGTGAAGATCCATATTTGAATACTCTTTGGTTCTTTCGGCAAAGTCACGTAGGTTTAAAATAAAAGAAATCACGACGTTTCGGGCGCAACACAAGCGTCCGTCTCCAGGTGTGAAAAAATGATCTGCTGTTGTGGCTTTATATAGGCACGGGAGGGGAGATGGAAGGGGGGGGGGGAAGGAGTTTGGCCGTGGGAGTTCACAGGGGAGAGAGGAGGGTTTGTGGCGTGCAGGGACGGGTGGGGCTGGAGAAATCAGCAAGTAAATGGACTTGTTGTACAAGTCGTAATCAGACGATGACACCCGGGTGGGTGAGAGAGGATGACGACACCCGGGTGGGTGAGAGAGGATGACGACACCCGGGTGGGTGAGAGAGGATGACGACACCCGGGTGGGTGAGAGAGGATGACGACACCCGGGTGGGTGAGAGAGGATGACGACACCCGGGTGGGTGAGAGAGGATGACGACACCCGGGTGGGTGAGAGAGGATGACGACACCCGGGTGGGTGAGAGAGGATGACGACACCCGGGTGGGTGAGAGAGGATGACGACACCCGGGTGGGTGAGAGAGGATGACGACACCCGGATGGGTGAGAGAGGATGACGACACCCGGTGGGTGAGAGAGGATGACGACACCCGGGTGGGTGAGAGAAGATGATGACACCCGGGTGGGTGAGAGAGGATGACGACACCCGGGTGGGTGAGAGAGGATGACGACAGCCGGGTGGGTGAGAGAGGATGACGACACCCGGGTGGGTGAGTGAAAATCACAGCAGATAAAACTTGACGTGGCTTATCACATCCTGCCAATGATTGCTCAATCTGAATACATTTTCTCGATTAAAGTTGTGTGTGTTTGTATATCTGGATGGCTTCATGAACAAATCTCTGAAGGTGACATTGTCTCGGAGAGGACAATGTCACGTGTGCCCACAGCGTTGAAACAATGATCCTCCACCGCCGAGGAGTTGGTTCTGGCCATGTGAACGCCCACAGCCAAACTCCTTCCCCCACTCCCTTCCCTCTCCCCTCCCGTGCCTATATAAAGCCACAACAGCAGCTAATTTTTTCACACCTGAATACGGACGCTGGTGTTGCGACCGAAACGTCGTGTTTTCTTTTATTTTAATCTACGTGACTTTACCGAAAGAACCAGAGGGTATGGATTCCTGCAGTCACGAAAGCTTCAAATCAAGACATTACATTATTAAAATATTACAATGCTTTATTGTTGCGTCAGTAAGAATTGTTTTTTCTTTTAAAAGGTAAAACATTTAAAGTTCTCTAATGCTTCAATTCTAGATTTAAAGCTTTCGTGACTGCAAGGATCCATACTCTTTGGTTCTATTCGGTAAAGTCACGTAGGTAAAAAATAAAACAACAAAAATCATGACGTTTCGGCCACAACACAAGCGGCCTTCATCAGGTGAAGGGATCAGGCTGTCTCGAGGACAGCGCTGGAGTGAAACACAGCCACGCTTAGACCGCGACCTTTAAGCTGTGTGCGAGGAAACAAGGTGCCTTGACAAAGGAATTAGCATAAAAATTAGCATTTGATTGGCCGACTTAGCATGATGAACGGTGTAGAGGTGGTGTACATGCGGGTGAACATGCCGGTTGGTGAGGGGGGGAGGGGGGAGTTTACCTATTGATGGTGTGAAAAGGGAATTTTTAAGAGCTGCGAAAGTTTGGGGTATCACTACTTGAAAAATATACTGTACCATTGAAATTAGTTTAATGTTTGGTTCGATTTAGAACATCTTTCCAATGGTTGCTTAATTTGAAACCATCTTCTCGGTTGAAATTGTGTCTGTGTTTGTAGATCTGAATTGCCTCGTGAACAAATCTCTGATAAAAACCCGTGGGTTTGCAAAGAACCTTGGTATCGGAGAAAATTATATCATGATCACCCACAGTGTTGTAACAGTGATCAGCTACGGCAGAATAATTCGTTCTGCCGTGTTTCATATCTGATTTGAAACAAAGCGACATGTCTCTGACCGAATTCGCGAGCAGAAATCAGATTTGAAACACGGCAGAACGAATTATTCTGCCGTAGCTGATCACTGTTACAACGCTGTGGGTGATCACGATATAATTTTCTCTGATACCAAGGTTCTTTGCGAACCCACGGGTTTTTATCAGAGATTTGTTCACGAGGCAATTCAGATCTACAAACACAGACACAATTTCAACCGAGAAGATGGTTTCAAATTAAGCAACCATTGGAAAGATGTTCTAAATCGAACCAAACATTAAACTAATTTCAATGGTACAGTATATTTTTCAAGTAGTGATACCCCAAACTTTCGCAGCTCTTAAAAATTCCCTTTTCACACCATCAATAGGTAAACTCCCCTTCCCCCCCCTCGCCAACCGGCATGTTCACCCGCATGTACACCACGTCTACACAGTTCATCATGCTAAGTCGGCCAATCAAATGCTATTTTTTATGCTAATTCCTTTGTCAAGGCACCTTGTTTCCTCGCACACAGCTTAAAGGTCGCGGTCTGAGCGTGGCTGTGTTTCACTCCAGCGCTGTCCTCGAGACAGTCTGGTCCCTTCACCTGATGAAGGCCGCTTGTGTTGTGGCCGAAACATCGTGAGATTTTTGTTGTTTTATTTTTTACCTAAGTGACTTTACCGAATAGAACCAAAGAGTATTCTCTAATGCTGTAATCCATACCGATCGTGTATTAAACACAAATTCAGTGCATTGTACATCGATTATAAATTATATTGAGCAATGAAAGTCGTTTTTTTTGGGAGTAAACTGAAGATTCAGATGAGATGACATAAGTATGTTTGATGATGATGACTTCGTTGTGTAAAAAAAAACAAATCTTTGTTTCGCAAGAAATACTACGTACGTCCAAGATCTCTTTGTTGGCTTTCGAAGACGTTCCTTCTCTCAGCACCTTGATAGCCACAGGGATTTTCACATCTTCTCCCTCCGGGGTCCAGATTCCCTGCAGAGGAGGAACATCTGCTTCAATCACCAAGTCATCTCAACACAGCTATACACAACGTAGGGAGAGGTTAAAAAGGGAAAGATGCAACCCGGAAATTACTCGCTCACACCACTGCCGGCAGAAGTGGCAGCTCTATGGGGTATTTGGCCTACTCTTCCTTACTGGACAGACACCTTGGAAGGAGTGAGAGTACTCACACTTTACCCCACCGCAAGCGACATTCTGAGCGACGAACTATGCTCTACCCATGTATAGTGATCTGCTTGCATCGTGATTTCAACTGCGGCACAATGGCAGATCGAAGCAGGGACCTCTGGTTTGCAGGTCCAGTGTGTTATCCATTCCACCGCGGCTGCATCCACATGTGTTCAGGTCAACTCTCCCAAACGTGACTCGTCGTTTACAGAGTTCTCACCTGATTAAACATAATAAACGTGAATATACTACAGGTTCATATTCTTGGTTATTTCGGTAAAGTCACGTAGAAGGGAAATAATAATGTTTTATTTTTATTATTTTATCATTTCCCTTCTACGTGACTTTACCGAAATAACCAAGAATATGAATCCCTGCAGTCACGAAAGCTTTAAATCGATATACTAGAGGTGTTGTTATAAATAAAGCATCATTTGTCTGCTTCATGTGAATGTCACACTGTGCGCATTTAAAAGGCATTGAACTCCGTCCGGTAACTTTAATGGGAGCATATTGGTAACATCCACATATGCTTCAAAATAAAAAGGCACATTCACACCGTACCAGGCATCACTCTACGGTTGAGCCAACCTAGTGGAGAACCGTGCAGGTTTTAGATGACCACGAGCGTGTGGCCGAGAATCACCCCCCCCCCCCCCGTCGCTGGGATCGCAACAAAGAGGAGCCACTTAGCCACATCTCTCCACTCGCACACAACGAGTCATCAGCCCACGTGTTCCGCTCTTTGTTCTCCAAATGGAGTACATACGGCATTATTAATTTACTCAATGCATTCTCTGTTGTGACCAGTAAAATGGACAACAACAAAAAAAAGCTGACATCGAAATGGGCCCAAACATTGTTGCAGCGAGGTATGAAGTTTTTTTTTAAATATATACATTGTCCACATTAAAAATGCATTATTGCACACAATACGGAGGGGAGCGGAAAATTGTGAAACTCTTTAAAACTCCCGCGCCCTCCGCTGCTGCCCTGACCTTCATTCATGGTTAGTTAGCTTCGCCCAGGTCCAGCCCTCCGGGCTATAAAATATTTAAATGGATCATGCCTCAAACTGTAATAAAAGTTTTAACTGCCGAGCATCCATGCAAGGATTTAGTGGCTGGGGTGGAGAATGTTAGACGTGTACAGATGCTGTTAAAAAAAAAAGAGTATAAAAGTTGTCTTCCATGTTCACTCACCAGTGAAAACCGAAATATTTATTGCAAATGAAATGGCCAAAAGTTAAATTACTTCAAGATGCATCCAATATCTTGTCATATGACGTACGTTTGGCAATATTGTCTTGACGCAGAGCAGCGTCAGTGGACATTTACCACTTCGAGTTGGCAGAGGGTGAATTAAAAATCGATATATCTCTGATTATCAACCAGAACGTTATATATTCACGGGGATCAATGAACAATTTCAGACGAATTTAACATTTCGGTTTTTAAAGTTCTCAATGCTGTACCCCAACATTTGAAACGATGAATTAACAATAAACCCTTTTCTGGAAATTCACCTCAACATTACCGATTCCATTACCGACGTAAGTAAAATCCATGACAGGAATGAATGAGCACGGCAGGTTCACTGAAGACGGTGGTAAGTCTCAACACAATTCATCTTCACATTAGCAGTTCGGATCAATGATAAACCGTACATTTACCAATGTGAGAGCCCGTTGATATACCATAATTAATTATGGACAACTTTGTAACACGTGTTTGAGGTAATTAAAAAAAATGAACATGTAACAAGGATCCTTGCTGCCTCGGGGGGAGATAATTTTTAGGTGACGTCTCTCAGTAGTCAACAATGCTGAGACCCCATAGCTCTATCTTGCTTTCAGCAACGTGCGATTTCAAAGTCCCACAACCACTGTTGTTTTTTCATGACCTCGGAATAGCCACCATTGATTGCACAAAACCATAATTACTTTGATCATCTGCACCTCCGATTAGAATGGTTGGCTTTATACGGCGAGAAAGAAGTTCAACATACATACATACATATAACTGTATTATAGTACTGGATGATTGCTGATGCAGTCCATTGAATATTAACTTATGCATTTTTTTATACTTATAAAAATGCATTAAAATAACATATCCTACTGTAATAACTGGTCATTATACTCATATTCTAGGATTATATGGATGCCGTATAATTGCTGGATTCAGTGGACCTCTGGTCAAGATTTGAACTCACCGCCTTTCAATTGGGAGGCTTTGTGCCACAGTCCCACCTGGCTTCATCAGCCCCATGTGAGTCTCTGGCTGGCTTTAAAATGATAATCAGGCTAACCCAGTGATGATTGTCAGTCGTATTAAGGGTGTATTATGGGATAGCACACACTGCTTTTCACTTAACACACATGAACATAAACAGCACACCCAGAAAAAGTTTAGACAAAATTAGACGAGGGATTTAATAATATTAATCTCATAAGTGGTTCGGTTCAACCGCTTCCGGTGTGACCAGGGGGTGTGCACCACTTTCGAACATCGATGGGGCATCGTGCGACTACGTGGCAGCCCACTGTCTCGTGGTTGCGCATCGTCTCCGGCTGTGAAGTCCATCACAGCGTGCCCGGCGGACTGCTTCCCCAGCACGTGCTGGAGGAGGAGGCTGTCACGTGGCTCTGTGGCTACATATGTATTCATTTTACAATTTATTTTGCTTGTGTATGTGGGTGCATTCGCTAAATAATATCTCATGAGTTTCACTTTAACCATCAGTGTTCTCAGATTAGAGTGAAGCTCCTACCTTGTGCACAGTTCCAAAGGCCCCCGAACCGAGAATCTTGCCACGCCTGAGCTCCGTCTCCTTGAGGATCCGTAGCTGGGCCTGGTTCGGGGCGGCTCCACTCGGAGTCAGGGGCTCCACCAGCTGCCAGCACAAACAACGCGGGTCTCTGCAATGTCCGAAGGTCCTGCACAAGCGTGATTAAAATGGCCTACAACATTCATCATCAGTGCCTCATCAAAGCAATATATCAACGTGGGAGAAGGTCTCAGGCGATGGCGCCTTCTATCAGCTCTGAATAAGGGGCATTGTTTTGGAGAATAACTTTTGCCTTAAAACATTCAGTTATGAAGAAGGGACATTGTCCAATAAATCACTAATTATCGGTGTGTTCTTTATAGAGAATGCTGCTTATTTGTAAGTCGAAACCAGGGTTTACAGAACATAATCTCTACCATTGGATATCTGGAAAATTAGATGGTCTGGATGAACAAAACTCAGAATTAGAATATTTATTTAGACTCGAGGAAACCTAACTTAGGACAACTTCCAATGCCTTGATTGGACATTGAACTCAACAGGTCTAGATTGTGCTTCTGTAGCATTGTCCTTCACACCAAGGCGACTTCACATTTAAATCACGTCTTCCTTTTATTATCCATTAGAGCGTCACTGATTCTCAGAACTGTGGCGTTGTTGTTTTTGTATAACTCTGTAACCTTTGTCAGTGCAATTTCAGTAAATATCGCAAAGCAAATGGAGGCATGACCCTCGTACGTATGCGAATTTTTACACGTATTTTAATTTAATTCAGTGTATTATATTTCACTTTTTCAATAGCAGCTTTCCTGAACTCATTATAAAGTGCAATTATACTTTCAGATTCTGACAGTAACATACACCCCAAGAGATCATGTTTCGAAATAATTTCCTTCAAAATTTTAACTCAGCATTGCGTTTTTGAGTGTAATTTCAGTGACACGCTATTTTCTTTATTCCAGTTAACAGAATACAGCTGCATGCCACTGTGGCAAAAGCACTCGGCCACGCGAGTGACAATCCTATTGCGAGTCGTCTCAGCCGAGCATCCCTTTGGCTTCAACAGCGTCAGAACCACTGCGTGGGAAATCAACAGCGGTTGCCCTCTGACGAGAATGGTCCCACACCTTGTTTTCATTTTCCCCAACGTCAGCTCGAGAGCGAATGCGCAGCATTTTGGACAATCCCCGAGGGCCACCAACAGACATGAACACTGCGCCGCCCGTGCGTTTGAGCCAACAAAAAAATAACTTTGATTTCACGCAATTGTAATTTTCCCTCCCGACAGCCTTGACAGCTTCCCTTCGCGTACATGCACACGGCTACGCTTCTATCTTTCTCTCTCTCTCTCTCTCCCTGGCTCTCCGTCACTCACATCAGCGCGGTCGCCCGTCAATGTCGCCCCATACCTCCTTCTCGATGTAGCGCCGCATGGCCCGCTTGCGCGCAATGTTCCGCCGACGCACGCACACCACCACCAGCAGCACGAACACGACGCAGGAGAACAGGCCCCCCACCACCATCACAGCCAGCACCGGTGTGCCTCCCCTAGGGAAGTGGATGGAGGCGACGGGGCGGGGGTGGTGGGGAGCAGAGTGTCCGTGTGGTTCCTTGCACAGGGCTCTTGCTTTGACTCGAGACATTGCTTGCATTCGCTCTCCCACGGCATCATTTTGTACATTTTTCCCGTTTTTTTTTCTCCAGGTTTTATCCCGATTTAGCGAGTTGCATCATGTCATGAGACGAAGTGCCCGACTGGATCTCGCAATGTAGCACAACCCTTTGTGTTCAAGAACGGCCCGTGGAAGCGGATATCACAGAGCTGCTTCCGAGAGTCACCTCTGGCAGCAAATGTCAGCACTTGGCCACCCACTCTGCATACGAGAGTATTGTTTTGGTCAAATGACAGTCAGAGTGATATCTAATTCTCACAGCTGGAATTAGACTGTTTAAGTACCGAAGTAATCTTTGAATATGGTGGGGGGGGGTTTTTGTGCATTCATTGATGACAAGGCTGAGAGGATCAACTCACTACATTTGAGAACCAAGTTTAAATGACAGGTGGCTTACCTGGAATCAAACACAAGCTTTCTCTCAGCGGTGCCAGCTCCCCCCTACATGCATAGCTTGCATTTAAATCAAACATCGAATCCAGCTGGACCCAGCATCCGGCTCCATAAAAAGTTTGTGGAGCTCCATTACAAGCCTAGGGTTGTCTCGGCTCTTCAGCCTTATAGTTTTTGTTCAAAGTTCATAGTTCATTTATTTGGTATAGCCCTGGGTGCAACTGCAACAAACAAAAACATGAACAAGAAAACATCTTAAAGTGATTATGTGACTGTGAGGTGATCAAATAAGTGGCGCTTTGTGAGAAATGAACGTATTCTAGCCGAGTGTAGAGACTGGCCGGGCAATGTGAATGGCATTTCACTTCCACCGCCGTCTTAAGGCGACCAACAGAGAAGGACCGGGCCCCGTATTTGTTTAAGTTATTGGTGAAATACTTGAAAAGTGTACAGTTATAATTCTCAGCGCACATCGTGGGGCTCTTTAGTGTCCGTGAGATAGCAGGCAGTGCCTTACACTTTCATAAGGAAGATAAATAAGCAGTGCATCCACACACTTGTCACCAGCATTCGTCAAAACTGGTGGCATTTACAAGCACACAATGTATTGACACCCACACATTGTACATACTGAACTGTACTGGGGTGTTTTTTTGTTTGTTTTGTTTTACGGATATGTTGAGGAGCAAAGGTTCAGCGGACCAGCTATATATACACATGCTGTATTATTCCCGTGCCTGACCTAAACGTAAAGAATGGCATATTAACTCTAGCAACTATTGGGGTGCGGGGAATTTGTCTCATTTGAGAAATCCTTTGCTGTCGTTTCAGATGTTGTGAGTGCAAAATTGTTGTGAGAATTAAGACCACAGTGTACATTGTCACGAATGCACGGTACCATCATCGCTGTGATAAGGATGACATAACGGCAGTAAATACATGTCTGCGCTGAGAGTAAGTCTTTCAAAAGTATTACTCCACGAGTGGAACGAGAGTGGATATTTAAACTGGTTGGCGGTTCATCCATAAAAAAGCTTCCCACTTAAAGATTCTCATTTGAATGACATCAATATACCACAGACCCGGCCCGTTTATCAATGGAAATTCTATTAAAAGTTTGATGTCACCGTATTTTCAATTATGCCTGCTCATAATAAAACACATTTAGAATAATTGAGACTAGGCTCTAAAGAAAGCTGCCTCTGGTGTGGACCAATCAGTTTCAAGGACAATGCATGTATTATCAGAGTGTGTTTTTTTGTTTGCATTTTGACTGCAAGTATTGTGGTTAATGCAGACATGAATCCTAGTTAAAAAAAGGCTTCAGTTTTGTTGCCAGAAAAAAGAGGGGAAAAACCCTATTATTATATTTTGGTACTGGCAAAGGAGGTCCAATGATGTAGACATTTAGAATAGTGTGATAATAACATTGAGAATGGGACACTACAATTGTCACATCAACGACCTACCCAATGGTAGGCTCATTTCAAAGCCCTGTGATAATAACATTGAGAATGGGACACTACAATTGTCACATCAACGACCTACCCAATGGTAGGCTCATTCCAAAGCCCTGTGATTATGCAACGATGCGACTACAACAAATGAAATGCATTGATATCCTGTCCAGGGATTGTTTTAAAAAAATAATGAGGATGCAATGAATAGTGTATACGTTAGTTCAACATGTTTTGTCTGTCCTCCACATATATAGTAAAAAAGTCAGTGGCCATTGTGATGGGAATGCTACATTCATGTGTCGGGGTCCAGTCTCTCAATTGAATGACCATTGTTGACTTGCGACAAAAATACTACAAATATATTATTGTGCCCAGGACAGATGACAGATTGAGTTAATCGCTTGAGGAGAATTTGAACGGACAACAACCTAGCAAGGTCAGGTGCCTTGTCACAGTGCCACCAGACCATCCTCGAAAATAGTATTGAGACCCTCCGAAGCGTTCGTGGTTAGACAAATAAGAAAGCTAAACGTGCTGCCGATGCACCGAGGCAAGAACTGAGATCTGTGCTGCGTAGAATTATCTTCCTCCAAGCACAAATGTCAAAACCAAGAGATCTACTTCACGAATTGCTACCAGACGAATTAGCAGACGGAACATTTGACAAGCACGGCACAGAAGCTGCAGCCCAGTCGCCCATGTAAGGCTCTGTTACAACACTGCTACAGAGGTAATTCAGAACAGTGATGCCAGAGCAGCAATTAAAACACCACACCACCGCCATACCTAGAGAGCAATGAGAACAGGGTCTTTCATGTAATGTCCATGTCGGAGTTCCTACAACATTGAGGTTTAAAAAAAAAATCACATTTACTGTTTGCTTGTTCATACAATTTTACCTCAGGCTTATATATATACATATATAGTGCATCGATGTTCCAATGGACATTGAGTGGTACTTATCTCGGAAGGCTGTCCTGAGCGATTGATGGAATCTCCACATTGAATTATAACATCCTTAGATACAACTGCAAAGGGCTGACACACGTGTCAAGGAGTTCCCGCCGGACGAGTCTTGAACTTCGTCTTCATGTCATCTACCCACAGTGCATCATACACCAGGGGGTTGCTCCATTCAGGCGCCACGGACACCCTTCTATCCCTCCCTTTATTCTCATTCCCCATCCTTTCTGGAACTCTCCATGAATCTCCATCAGTTCCCGTGCATGTATCCTACCGATCTCCATTTCCTTTTAGTTTTCCCTGACGACCAATCCGATGGATAAATAGCTGCAAGGGATGATGGCCGATGGCCTATAATAACAATGGCCTATAATAACAATGGCCTATAATAACAATGGCCTATAATAACAATGGCCTATAATAACAATGGCCTATAATAACAATGGCCTATAATAACAATGGCCTATAATAACAATGGCCTATAATAACAATGGCCTATAATAACAATGGCCTATAATAACAATGGAATGGCAGCCAGAGAATCCGAGAGTACGTCCACCATGGAGACCGTGTGATGGAGTCGGTTTGTGCGATGGTTCGAGCTGCATTACCGCACTGAAGCGTTGTGAACGACGGTGATTGCCATTCAGCACTGGATTGATCATTGCCAATAATTAATAATTATAATCGCAATTTTAGAAAACCTATTTATTGTTTTTTTACAAGTGCAATTCTATTAATGTTCAGTTAAAAGTGTTGGATATTTGCAAAAAATAGCCTTACACTATTAACCAATAACACACTGAAGTACTTTTTTGATTTAAAGCTTTCGTGACTGCAGTAATTCATATTCTTAGCACAGAGACAATTTCAACCAAGAAGATGGATTCTGGCTTAGCAATCATTGGAAGGATTTGATAAACCATTTCAGGTCTTAATTGATTGTTCACGCTTACGGTGGCTTTCAGACAGCATACATTAATTTTTCGTCTCCCCCTCCTCTTTTCAGAACATAGATGGACTCGTCCTTCTAAAGAAACTGCCAAATCGCTGCCCGTGGTGCTAACGTTTTTTTTTATAAACAAACACAAACCCCGCTTTAAAATAAATAAGTAAATGCTGACCGCCACTTCTTTCAAATGTTTCTTGCCGTTGGTTTTCACACCTGATGATGACCGTTTGTGTTATGGTCGAAACGTCGTGAGAATTTTTATTGGTTTATATATTTTATTATTTTATTGTTTCCCTTCAACGTGACTTTACCGAAAGAGCTAGGAATACACTGAAGTACCGTTTCATCTTTGGCCAAACATCACAGTGGGCCCAACTCGGCGTCAAAAAAACGCTCCTACTGTTCATTTAAACACCATTATTTTATACATATGCTCATGTATCAAGTCCATATAAAAAGCATTATAAAATGTTGCCATGCCGAAAATGCAATCCAGCGGTTGCCGGTTCGATTCCCCGGCTCGATGGTTGCTACAACGGTCCACGTTTCTCAACCCACTGCCTGCCACCTGTCCACCCAAGCATTGTGAATGGGCGTAACCGTTAACCCATCGGGCAGGTCACGTGTGGACACTCCCACTGCCGCAAGTTCTGCCCGGCCAGAGAGAGGGAAGGGAGTTGGAAAAAAAATCCCCTTCCAGGGGTGGGATTTTCTACAACTCCCTCTCGTGGAGGCGCGTCTGGCAGCAGTGGCGCGAGTAAGCATTGGCAGGGCTGTTGGCAGGGCTGTAACCCTTGCCCTTTCCCAGGTATGAAGGTGCGTGTGTTGACAATGCTACTGCGAAACGTTGATTATCTGCACGCAGCATTAGCGATGCGCACAGAGCACCCGATTGGTTTGTGACAGCGCATGCAGTCTCATTTGAGCAAGTGTCAGAGGTCTCAAAACAAAAAGGCAGTATCTAAATGAGCAGTGCATTTCAATAAACATTTGAATACTTCTTCAAATACAGTGGAATACTAAATTAACTACACTGCAGCGCAGGACACCTTTAATATACAGTACTGTGCAGAAATAAAATGAATTATGGACTCAGCATAATCACAT